TTACTCCCCGGTCAATAAATCGATTAAAACCTTCGTGAATGAGCAATTAGCTAAGGTTCGAATCAGGTGACAAATCGATAATTTTGAAGCCTGTTTGTTCCTTGAATGCACATCACTCTGTCTTCACCACTTTTTTTAGAGGAAAAAAGGAAATGAAGTTTTTAATTCCCAAAATTTGGGCGCCTACTTGATGAGAATTTACCTGATTAGACGCTTAGGAAAATGCTACATTCGAGGGGTTTTGTTTGTGCTTTGCAGCCCTAGCCCCGGAAATCTCGCCTAACACCACACACGAATGAGTTGACGAAATGCACTCACGCATAAAAATACTCCCACGCTAATTAAAAAAACTTGGTAACCGCGGTTAGAGGGCATCGTGGGGTGTAGGGAAATTAGCGGAATGGGAACGTAATACCGTTGTGATAGACTTTGACCTCAGGTTGTCTATGGCTCTCAGACACCTGTAATTCATCACATCGTTTGCTGGGAACTTTTGCCTAATTAATGGAGGTTTGGACAACTGCCTAAATGGTGTGAAAATGGCTTAGTACAACAACAGAATAACATGGTAAAGGGATAGATGATTTTGAAGATGTTAGTCAATCAAGTTTTCCGCTACCCAATGAATGATTTTAACAATAGGGAATGAAGGATGGGATTCCCCATAAAGCCGTCAAGTTGAAGGTTTTCAGGAGTTTGTGAGGAATTCTTCTGCGCTGGCAAACCTACTGTGCGCGCTTAAAATGCTTCGTGGAATGTTTAGAAAGCCATGGGGGTAGATGGAAGAGAAATTAACAATGCTAACCTTTCCAGCGTCGGAAGATCAAAGAACTGAGGTGATGCTGAGAAAATTCGTGGACACTCAAGGTAGTTATATAAGCAGTTATCGTGACTTGCGTTGCCAATAAAATCGCCAATCTTGATCCACCTTTTTTCTTCAGTTCAATTACAATACTTAATTCGGGTTATTTTTTAACAAAGTGATTAAAGAACTTCGTTGTCGTTTCATAAAATGCCTATTTGTGTAAAAGCTTTACGATTTTTGGTGAGAAGGCACCTACGAAGGCAACAACCTCCCAGCAGCCAATCAAATGCCCTCATTTTCGGTTGTCGATCACATGACCTACAAGTGAACCTTTCCGCCCTCAGGCATTAGAGGGCAGTGAATCACGCGGTGAAGCGAGCCGTCTGTTAGTTAATTGTTTTTTTTTGAAAGGAATGAAATTGAAAAATGTGGTACATTCAAATCTGCCGTGAAAACTTGAAATAATGATTAGCAGGTCAAGTGGCAGTTATGCATACATTAGTTAAAATCGACATCAACAAGTACGTTCATTAACAATTAAGACCAAAAAATCGAAGTGGAAATAGCTCCTATGGAAATCTAATGGTAAACACATCGACTCCAGATCCAGCCTTCTGTGGCCCCCCACCACCTCAAATGCATATCTCGGGATGTGGGTGGGTCTTGCGATTTTATGGCGAACTTCAAGATGTGTTTATTTCGTCATTGATGCAATGCTGCAATGTCAGTTGGAAGGGGGTCAACGCATGAAAGGAACTTAAGTCAGGCCGAGGTTGTGAACAGGCAATTCAGCAACTCCATCCTAGACAGCTCTTTTCGATTAGACCGAGTAAATAGGAGGTGAAGCGACACCAGGATGATTTGACGTTGTTTCTGTTATTGAGATAATGTATTGTAAATAGCTTTGCCTCCAAAGCTGAGTGGACATACCGACGGAGAGGAATGTGTACTCCTGGCAGACGCGCCCACATACCTTCAAATCATAACAACCAGCAAATGACAGCGAGTAATGTTCTTACTTTTCCTTTTGGAGAAATTGACCCAGAAATAGCTGTCTGCATCTAGACAAAGTAGTTTCGAGACGGAAAACCACTCCTGGTAATACAATACTAGTGTAGGAATTTGAGTGAGCATCAACTTCTTTATTAATTGCACATTTCAGTGTTGTAAATCGTTAAAAAAGATAAGTAAAAAAGAGTGTTTGGTGAGGTAGGAATGTGGCCTCAGCACAGTGGGATGGTCGAGGCTCTCAATGGGAAGTCCATTCTGACAAGTGAATTCGATGCAATTGTAATCACGCAAATCAAATTGTCACGTGTCACAAGGGAGGCAGGCCTGTGCTGGAAGCATAAAAATTTGACAACATGGCAAAATATGCCATCCATGGTAGCTCAAGGCAGATATGTGGTGGAAAAGAGTGGATTTTAGGATGGTTGACTGGATGGATCGATGGATACGGGACGGATGAATGGATAAATTAAACTTGAAAGAAATAACAAGCGAAAATTAAATTCAGCCGAAGTGGATGAGCGAATCAAGTAATTAATCACAGGCCAAAGAGATGAATTTAAGTTTGATGAATGGATGGATGGGGGAGATAGACCCATGCATAAATGAACGACAGGTCCAGACATTCTGTTCCAAATAATTCCCATCACTTTTTTATTAAAGCGGTCATCCCACCCCCATCCAGTCAACCCAAATTGAACAAAACCAAGCCCCGTTGGCTTGCCCCACTTCACTTGGCTGGCTAGCTGAATAGCTGGACGGGGCTGGGCTGGGCTTGACTGGTCTCTGGAATGCACAATGCCCAAGAACCATCTCCTCTCTCTCTGTCTCCCCAATTCCCAAGGCGACAGTTTGATTGATGTGGTGACTTGCGTTGCATTACATTGCTTCGCGTTGCCTCACCTCGCCATACCATACCATACCATGCCAGGCCATGCCATGCCATTCCTCCGACGCGTGCTTGTGTGTGTCCCAGTGACACGCCGTGCCCGCACAGTGTATGGGAATGTGCCCCACCTTCTCACTTCTTGTCGTCTGTACACAAATCTCCTATCGGGTCATCAAGGTACTCATTTCACGTTCCTTCAATCCACATGTTTGCTTTTCTACTTGTCTACCTTCCCACTCGCATCAGTTCATTCGCCAGTGACGTCAGCTCAGCCATCATCGTTGACACTTGCTGCCAGGCCATTCTCGATGCCGCCCCCCATCTCTACAACTACATTCTGCCTATTTGTCACCTCTGACACATCTTCAGCAGGTCCACCTCTCACGAGGGCGTCATCCTTTTTCTGTGTACTCTATGATGCAAAATCGGTGACACCAGGAAATATTAGATCAGTGACTCGCCACAATTCAATGGAGTTTCGAGTCATGCCAAAATGGCCTTCATTCTCCTGCAGAAGTCGTATGAAGTGTGGTTATCTATCAGGCATGATTAGTGGTTGGGTGCGTCGTCTAAGAGGAAACCTACCAGAACTGAAGTGGACTGAACGTGGTGTCACTTTTGTTTTGCCTTCAAGTCTGTTGGTCTCGTACCTGCATTTTGCATTGATTCTTAAAATTACGAAAAGATTGTTAAATCCCACATGGAGATGAAAGATTCATTGTTTTCCCAGCTCTACAAGACTTCAAGTAATACCAGCCCTTCCAAAGCCTTTGACCATAAACACAACAAACAGGCCGCGTTATGGTGTCACTCGCAGAACCCTTACTTACCACTGAAGAAGTTACAAGGGGCGGCCTTGCTAAAAGACCCTAAAGAAGGGTTGGACACTAGAAGTTGGGTTCAACGTCATCACAGGAACCGAGGGAGACGGAAATGCTTGTATGACCTTCCAATGAATAGCGGCCCTCTGCACAACTTTCCCCCATTCGAGCGTCTTCTCCTGACAATCCCATTGATCATTTTGTCATTTTAGCCGTCATTATGCAACGAGGAGAATCTCGAGTCTACTGATAATGATAAGTTTTGGCTATTCAAATGGATTCCTTCGCTTTCAGTTCTTTTTCTGCAGAAAAAGGATTTAAGCAGGTATTACCTAGGGCTGGAGGACACTCTACAAAGAGTAACTTCCCAGTGTCAATCGTGTTACAGAGGGATATTGTCCTAAACGCATTCTGGGACAGTGTCAAACCTTCAAACTTAGTTCGTTATTTTAACAAATCAGTGTATAAACCATTTAAAAACAATTTGACCTTCAGTGGGCAGAGGGATGGATAGATGGGTGGACAGATGGATGGATATTGGCTAGATAGATGGATGTTCGGATGGATGGATGGATAAATGGATGGAAGAGTACAAACTTCCAAATTGCAATTAGTGAATCCAGTTAGGCATGAGGCACTATAAATGATTAAAGTTGTCGGACATATTTCAGTATGCCGCCATCAGTGATATCCTCTTTGCATCCTCCTTACATCAAATGGGAGACAAGTAGTGCATAGCCCCATATTGTTATT